GAACGTAATACCGGATGGCAATTCTGAGTAATAAACAAGAAAATGCTTCTAATTAATTTACTTGATTTTTTTGTATGTACAATGTTGGAGCTTATGAACATCGTAAATCTTCGGAATATGTCGTACTTCGGTCACGTTACTGGGGAAAAACAGTACAGATTACTCCAGTTAATCATCTAAAGCAAGGTTGCTGGTAATAGAAGTGTCAGGGGAGGCGGCACTTCAGGCTAAAAACAAGCGGGAGTGATTTGAATGCACCGCCACTGCACTCTTCAGAGCAGCAGTTTTAATAATCAAAATCGCTCTTATATTGTTCAATCATCACAACTCAGGTTACATGTATATTTCCATAACTAATAACGTAACTTTTAGAATATTTGTAGTCTAGTATTTTTTAATTCCTTACAATTGTTTACTTCATTTCATACTGTATAAATTATGTTAAACTAAATGCTGTGAATACCTTTAAATGGAACGTGCCATAGTATTAACACGACCAACTTATGAACATTATAATAGAAGGTAAGATAGAAGGAAAAAGGGGAAGAGGGAGACCGAGACATAGTTACATCAGGCAGATCAAGGAAGGAGTTGGTGTCGTGTCGTATCAAGAGGTGAATAGACTCGCTGAAAATCGTAGTGAGTGGCAAGAGCTCCACCGACAAGAGCGCAGCTCTTAAATAGGATAGATAGATAGATAGATAGTGTTATAATGCAATATGCTATTGGTGTTGTTTTAAATAAATAAATCATCTATAGGAGTGGAACTTAAAGAAGTATGTTGCTGTATTTGCTACTTATGAACTAAGTTTTACAATTTTTTTTGCAATAGATAGGGTTAACTCCCATGTTGATTCAATTTAAATTTAGTGAATTTCTCATTGCTGGATATGGATATCTTCCAATTAGAAGGGGATATTTTTAATGGGTGAAAATAGAACTGTAACCCCGCCCGCACTAATGGTATACGCTTGCTGGGTACTAGTTAGGGATAATAGGTGAGGATGAAGTTGGGTCAGTTAGTCCATGGTGAGTAATAAAAGTAAAAAAAATTGATGAGTAAAAATTGAATTCAAATCCTTTGCTGTATCAATGTGTACGATGGCGAGACACCAGTAAGAGACGATAGATGAGGAGAAAAGCGGGTCAGATGGTCCGTCGTGACGAATTCAGAATGCAGTTGACCTGATATATGTGTAGGTATATTGTTAGCAGTGAAGCTACTACTATTACTAATAATTTCTCTTCCCCCCCCCCCCCCCCCCGCTTCTCTCCTAGAAGAGATTGTCAGCCCACTAATATCCTGTTAGACAGGCAGCCTTGTATAAAGTTTTAATACTTCTACTCGCCTTTCACGATAAATATACTGCGATAATTGAATTTTCTTATCATCGGTCAGTCATCCGTCATATTTAATTGCAATTTAATTAGTGTCACGACATTAATATGCTCCTAGTATCATTTATTATATAATAACTCAATTATAAGTCCTTACTATTACTTGGATTTAATTTAGAGTTACTGAATAATTGTAAACCCAATTTTAAATCTTACTACGTGAAATTTCGTAAAGACATTTGGAACATTGGGAAGTTAAGGCACCAGGCAATATTAAAGACTGAACGCTTTTAAATAAAATTTAATGCATAGATAGACTATATCTTAGATTAATACTATATTATAGTATTCATGGAATCGAATTTGTTTTTCTAATGAAACGAAAAAACAACTAACCATAACAAAATTAATATGATAGAATATTAAGACTAACATTAGAGAAAACTTTATCAATAACAAAAAGTCAAAATCTATTGGGAATTCGCAAAGATATCGCATATGTTATTCACAAAAAAATATACAAGCCAAACATAGACGCAGTATAAAATACTCACGTACTGACAGATTGGTAATGCAATCACAAAAACGAGACAAGAAAATGGTTACACTAGAGTACGTATAATGTAAATGTGTGCAATGTGACAGTTCTAAATTTATATCGAAATGAAGTTACAAAAATAGGAAAATTTTCATGTGTTTGTTACAATTTTTATTTTAGTTCGCAGACGTTCGGAACTTTATTTACAGCATAATTGCATGAAAAATGTAAAATTTTGTATATTAAAAATAATAACGTTTCAAAATCTAAAAATAATCAGAATTTATTTTGTTCATATTCCTACCTTATTCTTGGCTACTTTTCTATCCCTTTCTAACTTATATATTATTATATTTCTTCTCTTTTACATTGCCAACATATATACTGTATAAACAGAAAACCTCCTTTCTTGTAAGTGGCTTAAAATCATAGTTGCAGATATTGATAGTTTAAAATTATGTTAAAATCATAGATTAAGAATAGTAGCTACGATCCAGATGATATGGGATGACAAGAAATAGGAAAATAAGAAATGAATGTCTACAGAAAAGTCCGAAAGCTGCCCGAGTAACAGAAAAGTTGCAAACAAACTGTTTTGGCACGGTCAAGTCATGTGGAGGAATGAAAGCCATGTTTTAAAGGTGTTAAATTCGAAAATGAATGGATATAAAGGAAGGATACGGTCGAAGAAAAGGTGTACGGATAGTATGAAAGATGATATGCATAAAAAAAGAGCGAGTCTAAGTATAAATGCTGATAAGGATACATGAAAGAGAAAAACATACTGCGCTAACCCCAAATAAATGGGAAAAGGCCAAGGGAATGATGGTAAATAGAATAAAATTACGATGACCAAAGACAGAGTCTGTTATACAAATACGTAAAATGCATAGACAATTTTATAATTTACTGTAGTGTAGCAAAATTTCGTACCATTTTATTGTATCGATATAATAGAAAAGCTAAATGTTTGTAAATATGGAGACGCGAACGAGCCACGATATCGTTGAGGAAAATGAAGAGTATTCATAATTTCTGCTTACCGTGTGACAACCTCGCAATTTTTTGTCAATTTTCAATAATCATTTTCAAATTTTTCAATGTTTCTGATTGATTATTTAAAAAGTGTTCTATTAGCGAACTTAAACATTAAATAGGTTGCAAATAAATATACCATTTTAATCTTTGTACTTACTTCATGTTTTTCTTCATATATTTAACTCTCTTATTATATCGTGGCGATAATATTGTACGATATCATAGCATGCTATGGTTAATTATATCAATGCCCTGAACATTTGACTGCCTTATTGTATCGTAGTGATAATATTATACAATATCATAGTATGATATGATTAATTATATCAATGCCCCGTACAGTTGACTCCCTTATTTTATCGTGGCGATAATGTTATTCAATTTTATAGCATGCTATGGTTAACTATATAAATACCCTGTACATTTGACTCTCTTATTATATGTGGCAGTAATATTGCACAACATCGTAGCATGCTATGATTAATTATATAAATGCCCTATACATTTGACTTTCTTATTATATCGCGGTAATATTGTATAATACCGTGTCATGCTGCGGTTAACTACAAAGACGTCCTATACATTTATTTGTGCTGTAATATCGTACGATATCTTATCGTTCAGTCGTAGATTATAAAAACGAACATTGACATTGAGAGAAATGGGTGAAGATTAGCACACGACCTCCCTCATCCATCAGCAATCCGCAAGGTCATGTTAATCATGACACCCACCACGGGAGAAGCTGACTTGCACTTTCTACCCGCAAGTAGCAAATATAGTATTCAGTCTTCAGCAAAAGGCTCCTTAATTAGCTATCCAAGCAAACTAATATATAACAACGAAATTTCTCTCTGTGTAACCGAGTACATACCTATTTATTAAAGACAAATGCGTACTATTAGCATGTAATTTTAAGTGCTTTATTATGACTGGATTAAAATGTATGATAACGACTGTTTGTTTGTTGATTTAAACAAATATCAGGTTATAAAAAAACGATAAGGTTATACGCGGGCATACTTATCCCTTAAATCAACATGTGTATTAACAAGGACTCTCACTGGACACTAAAAACTAAACAAATACATGGCCCAACTAGGCTTATGTCCAAAAAGTGTTTGCAGATTTTGTCAAAATGAAGAACCATCATAATCATTATTTCAGCCATTATCTGACCATTGCTGAATATGGGTCTCCGCCATTGTTGCCATAAGGTACGGTTCCAAACCACCTCTATCCATTGACTGCTTGCAATACATTTAAGATCGTCGCTTCATCTAGTGGGGCGTCGTGCTGCGTTTGCCCGTATAAGGCCATCACTCAAGGTGTTATATGTTTGAATAAATTAAATTTACAATAAAGATTGTAAATACTGGATCCGTGCAAACAATAATAAAGTGGTAAATTTATTAAAATGCAAAATTTTCCTGTACTCAGTACCATGCGAATTGATATTAATGCAACAGGCATATTTTATATATATTTTTTTAAATAAAAAATTCCAAGCAAAGGCAGAGTTCAATTATTTATATTTAATAATTAAATATAAATATATAAAGCATAGCATGCTCTTGTAAAAATGCTTAATTAATATATGTTTATAAAAAATTATGTACTCGTACAATAAATAATTCATGCAAAAAGAATATAATTAGCTTAGCAGTTGCATTTATTTTCCTTAACATTTATTTATGCCACAAATGTATATTTTTTTTAATAACTTAATGAAACAGTATTTTTCTAAAGGAAACTATTTATTTTAAGATTTTTTTATCAATCAATCATCAATATTTAAACAAATCGGAAATTATAATATAAACATATTGTACAATGAACTTTATGATATTTTTGTTTACTTTATTCAATGAGTGTTTTCAAATTTCGAATTGATATTTTCATAAACAAAATGTATACTTTTTTTAAGGCTAATACACAACAATGTTATTTTTGAATAAAGAATAAAACATTTGAATGCGGGATCAATTTGACTGTACCTCGGGAACGGTGTGAAGCTGAATGCAAGCGAAGGAATAACAAACAGGAAATCAGAAGTGAGAAGTGCTGAAACGAGGCGGACACTCACCAAACTCTGTGCTGCCGTCTGGTGCTGCAAAAACAGGCTGAAGTCAGTTAAGCCAGTTAGAAGAGTCACTTAAGCAAGAGTGAGACAGCCCAATTTAATCAATGAAATATAAGACACATTAGTATACTTTTAAAAAAGAAATGACTTTTTATTGATTTTTAGGTCACTTAGTTCAAGCAATTGAATAATTTTTCAATAAGATAATAATTATTGGAATATGAGTTTCATATTTTAAAAATAATATCTACAACATTTTTTTAATTATGTAATAAATTGTCAAGTGTCTCTTTAAGAATAAAAAAAAAATTACTAGACTTTTATAATTTTGTGTGACTGAAATTGTATTGGTATATGAATATATAAGTAAATATAATTTGTTTAATTTTTAAACAACTTTTATATGAAAGATTTTTATTTTATTCTTTTAGCTACAGATATACATATATGTTGGAGGCACACTAGAAATTAAAATTTGCCTGTATACTAATCGCTTATTTTTTATACATAATAGTCTATTTTTTTTAAAGTAAGTGCAGTGTAATTACTGTATATAATCTAGTATAGTATTACTCATATATTATCTGTGGTAACATATAGAGACATAATACCTTAATCTTAATGCAGACAAAGCGTAGGTGTATCATGGATTTAAACAGTATTCTCTAATGTTCAGGATGTAAGTTTACATATAAGTAATTATTACTAATTTTTCATCAAATTCCCCATCAGCTTGTTTCTAATTGTCACTAACTAATTGTCACTAATTTAGTACAAATTGCAATATCAAAAAAAAAATAACTAAAATGGGCACGTTATTGTGTAAAAAAAAAATTACATGTAAATATTATTAACTAAATATGTCAAACAATAAAAATATGAGTATATTATATATGTCTATATATTATATTTATTATATTATACAGAGGGAGACTATGTACAAAAGTCGATTGCTTGGGTACCTCTGTCCCATTCGTGTTTCAACCGTGAAGCAGTTTTGTTTGCATGGATGTCTTTCGGTTTGAAGGCTATATCCCACATAGCGTGAATGTACTGGGTACAGAGGAATAACACCTGAGTCCCCAGGAATGGCAACGCATGGGGGGTATCATGGGCGAAACAGTATACTCTCTTATGTTCATGGTACTGCTCATGTCTATAGGCGATGGTTACCACTTTTCATCAGGTGCACCGTCAGCTTGTTTGCCATTCTAAGTTGTATTAAAAAAAATATGTCTAATAATGTACAGTGTGTAAGTAACTATTTCTAGTTTATATGTAGTAGAAATATCTGAATTGAAATTAAGGTTAACTTTGTACTATCTTATCAGCCGTTTATTGTCCACTGCTGTATCTAAGCCTCCCTGGATTTTGTTAGTAGTTGCCACGCTTGGCAAGCGAGTTAACAAACGCAGTTAAGCTTTGATGATTTCTTAAGAGAGACGCTGCCATATACGTCGACCACTAAGTTACTTTAGTTACCTCTAACGACTCCCACGGGAAAGCAAATGATGACCTACGCCGGGACTACACAGCGAACTTGGTATACTATTTATAATTACTGCTGTCCATCTAAAGGTTGCCTAAAAGAGATCGCGTTTCACGGTACGGCTGCCCATTGTTTTCTGAGTGTAATATTTTCTTATAATTGTTTGTTTTTATAATAAGTTTACTATTGTAATCTTTTAGAGGAAATATCTATTTATCTATATATATATATATATATATATATATATATATATATATATATATATATATTATATTTTATATTTTAATATTTATTTATTATACTCAATTTAATATATTTTTAAATATATACTTCTCCCTATTTGATGATTTAATCAGTATAAGTTTAAAGTTTTCTGTGTTATGACACATACAACCGCATAAAAATTAACTTACATTGAAGTCCTATAAACATTTTAGTCGTTGAAAGATTCATAATTCATAAACTCTCACAAACTTCAGCCTTTATTTATTTGTCATAACATATAGTACCTATATTGGATTTAAATCCAAACTAATGTTATAAAAGTAAGTTTCTTTATTTGTTTGTTTGTTACCTCATGGCGCTTTAACGGCTTAACCAATCACTATGAAATTTGGTACACATTTACTATATGTGATAGAGTAGGGCATAGATAGGATACTTTTTATTTTAGTCAATGAAAACATTACGATTACGCTGACGAAGACGCGGGTAATAACTGTGTAAAATATGTACTTATATATAAATAATAATAATATAATATAATAAAGCATTTATTCTCTGACCACAATTTAACTTTAACTTACTTACTTACTACTAACTTTACTTATTACTAAGCTAGCTTACTAGCAATTATGTTGGTCAGGTACTTATATAGTACTATATAAATATAATCCCAATCCGCCAGCCAAACGTGGCAACTATTGGCAAAAACTCCCAGTAGGGGCACGCCTATATTCAACAATGGACGGTTAACAGCTGATACAATGGTATAAATATATATTCTTTTATATATATTCTTTATTGCACTTGTATGTTACATATAAAATAATGTATTTATAAATGTTGTGAGCAAGGGTGGACTTATCTCTGACAGAGATCTCTTCCAGTCAATACAGTACAGTAAGAAAGCATTACGTCAGCAGGCAGCTGAAGTACTACATCTATTAATACATAAACAAATATACATAAATAAAATATTTAAATATATAATAAAATATTACATAAATACATACACTATAAATACATATAATACCTACCTACTTATATAATAAATGTTAAAATAAATGAATATACTACTTACACTAGAATTTAGTTTAACGATTTTAAGATTTGACAGTTCAATTAGAAAAATACAAAAAAAAAATATAATTACATTTAAAACAGTACCCCATTATTATTTCATTGTGTGAAAATCAAGGTAGCGCAATACAGGTTAACAAATGTAAGCGCTACACACAAAGGTTTTTAAGTCGTGTAATTACTTAAATATTCAAGTAAAGTACCGGCGGCCGTACTGTTTATTCAACTAGATAGTAATCAGAACAGTTAACTTTGATGTGTCCACATGTTTGTATAATTAGTTAGTTTGTAAATTCACCACCACAATGCTTGAGGTAATAATAGCTTTAATTGTTTACAAGGCTCGATCTAGCTATTTTGCCGCTTCGGCCAAAGAATTATTTATTTATTCTTTATTGTACACAAAAAATTACAAACATATAGGTAATATATATAAAATAAAGATGTACAACAGGCGAGCTTAACTCTGTAAGAGTTCTCTTCCAGCAAACCCTGAGTGGGAAGGAGCATTAATTACCAGCGGGCAGTGTGCGTACAATAATAGGAGGAAATATTATAGATGTTTCTATTAAGAAAAAATAAATATGTTGACATATATACAAAGTAACTCATATAATTAAAATCAAAATATTAATATAATTATTATAATTGTTGTTTTTATTCTTTATTTTGCCCATCATTCGTTTAATGAACATTTTTGCCCACGACTACGATCGTGTGACCCGGTCATACGAACAAAGTCGTGGGCAAAAATTTATTTATTGATAGGAATAAAAGGTGTCTATGTACTTCCTATGTAGTTCCTTACATAGTATAGGCCACTCCTTCCTTTCCCGTGGGTGTCGCAAGAGGCGATTAAGAGAGTCTATGGTTAAGGAATGGCCGTAAGCCCTCTTAAAATATCACCAGCTAAACTGCCTGTCAAGCGTAGCAATTATTGGCAAGCCCTCCTCTTTAAGGAGACTACGTTCAGCAGTGGACAGTTAACGGCTGGCAAATTAATAAAAGATAGCGTATCTCTGTCTCCATTCCAAATACGTGAATTTATTGGGTACAGAGGAATAACACCTGAGTCCTCAGGAATAGCAACGCATGGGGGGTATCATGGGCGAAACAGTATACTCTGTTATGTTCATGGTACTGCTCATGTCTATAGGCGACGGTTACCACTTTCCATCAGGTGGGCCGTCAGCTTGTTTGTCATTCTAAAATGTATAAAAAAAATATTACCCATGCTTATATATATTTAATTACACAAAATAACATCGACTTCATAGTAAAATGAATTTTTAAGGTTCACTTCGTTGTCCATCTGTCCGTTCGTACGTCTGGCAAAATCCTTTTTCTTATCATGGGCGAAACAGTATACTCTGTTATGTTCATGGTACTGCTCATGTCTATAGGCGACGGTTACCACTTTCCATCAGGTGGGCCGTCAGCTTGTTTGTCATTCTAAAATGTATAAAAAAAATATTACCCATGCTTATATATATTTAATTACACAAAATAACATCGACTTCATAGTAAAATGAATTTTTAAGGTTCACTTCGTTGTCCATCTGTCCGTTCGTACTTCTGGCAAAATCCTTTTTCTTAGGAACGGGTTGAGGTATCAAGTATTATATACTCAGGTCTGCAATCTCTTAAAGCAGTGAAAAAAAATCAAGCTTCTAAATCGACGCAATCAAAAGATACGGCCGTTTATGTTTCATTTATATCGTATAGTTTGACATTTGCAAAGGGTATCAAAATCTATATGGTACTTCCCGTTGACCTAGAATCATGAAATTTGTCAAGAAGCAACGTAATGTAGTATAAGTAAAATCCGAAAATCCTAAATATGCAGTTATTTCACATTTTTTTTTCTTTTTTTTTTGATGAATGCAGCTTCACATTTTTTTGTGCAACTGCTTACACTTTTATACGTACTTTTATTATACGGAACTCTCGTTTGCGAATCCGACCCTCCATTAACCGGCTTTTTTATTATAAATCAAACTGTACTGTGAACTTATACTACCTAATCGATTTTAATGAACTGGATATACCCAATCTAAAATTATATCCTTTCAAATAAAAATAGAATTTTCGAAATCGGTTTATAAATGAAGGAATTCTGAAGACACAAACATTAAAAAAAATACGATCGCATTGAAAATCTCCTATTTTTCAACCGATTTCCAAAAAGGATGAAAATTGTAAATGCCCAGATCAATACAATGTCCAGTGCGTATAA